TTTACATTTATCACAGGACCTAATTTGAACACTTAAGTAGCAACTGAATCACATCTATTGTTCAAGGTGCATGAAGAACTGAAATGTTCCCAACCTGGGCCATTAGCCTTAAGCAAACAGGGGGCTCTGGCTCTCAGCCTGGTGGTGAGTTTGAACACTCACAGACAGACTGCAGGGTCCAATAGGAAGAGCTTCGTCAAACATGCATATTTAAATTTGGCTCTGCCACTTACAACAAGGATTCCCTGAGAGATACCTCAAAGCAGCAGTTCCCGAATGTTAAACGTGTATGTAAATCACCTGGCGATCTTGTTAGAATGCAGATCCTGATTAAATCATCCTGAGGGGAGGGGTCTGAGGGGCTGCATTTCTACCCAGCTCCCGTGCTGCTGGCCCCTGGCCCAACTCTGAGTAGCAAGGCTTTTGATTATTGACGGAACATGAGCAAAGCACATGTGTACACGAGAAAACTCCTCATGAACTGTATGTAAAATGACATAAGCATCAACTTACTATATTGATTAAAAATAGTTGGTGATTCAATTCAACTGCTCAGGAAAAAAGTCCTAGTAGAATAAATTATGTTCCAGATATTCTTCTAATTTTCCTCTTTAACAAAAGCAAAACTGGGAATTGGAAAGGCCAACAAGAAAGATATTCATCCTAAACATTTTTGTTGCTTAGTGAGTGCTTTGAAAAATTAACTTCCATATAACCATCTTAACCAAAAAGATGGGGGGCGAGGGGGGAGGGGCGCGGACCAAATCCGGCTTTTTAAAAGAAATTTGCACAATCAGATCCAGTTCCAGATTTGTCTGTAGATCATCTCACTCCAATCAAAACAGAAATAGTGAATTACACAGAAAAGGAAGAAGACAACTGGCTCCAGGAAAACTGATGATGAGAAAAGATTGCTGCAAGGGAAGAAATTAAAAACTAATAAAAGCAAACATAACATAGAAATCAAAGCTGTAGGGATGTCTAATTTCCTTGCCTAAGTATAGCTGTTCTTTTTCATCAGTGTTGGCATTTTCTGTAAGAACTGAGTAAAATTGACAGGTACAATTATTGATTTCTGGAGCATTTCTGTGTTTCTATGTAAAGTATAATCAACAATTCCTGTTCACATGCTGGTTCACAAATTGGCGAAGGAACCCAGAGGGCAAGGAGAGAGCGAAGAAAGAGGCAGGTCACTCCAGATTGGTAGGTGGAAGCTCTCATTAGCAAGGGAACTTATAGACCAGGCTTGTCTTGGGCAGCCACATGACGAAGTCTCCACACTAGGCTGCCAGACTCTTAAAAGCTTGTACAGAGGCCTTAACTGGGTTCAGCCACATATACCATCCAGATGGCCCAACAACACATCGCTCTTCAACGGTTATGACCTTGAAAATGGCTCTCACTGTGGGAACGGAACAGGGGCAGAATGAATATTCCAAGCACAGGGGAGGGTGTGAGGAGACTCCAATTGCCTGAGTCCTACTCATGGGTTAACTGACAGTCACATCCTCTGTATGAACTCCTCCAACATCAAGAAAACACAACTTACTGTACTGGGTGAAGAAGACTTTCAGCACTTACCAGAAAATGCATAACAAACCCTTCCCATGGGAAAGAACCCCTTCCTCATTATTTAGGTTTTGGACAGAATGACCCTGTCACAGACCTAGACCACCAACACCTTAGTCAGATTAAGCAGCAGCTTGCTTGCCCCGTGATGGATCTCTTCTCAATGGTTCTAGAGCCACTGTGACTATAGAATTAAAAACTCTGCTTCAAAGATGCCAGAGGTCCATCAGACACACCAGAAATTCATCTGACTCCCCTTCACCTGCATTTTATACTTTGGCTTCCTGCTGCCATCCTGTTTATCCTCTCTCAGCTGCTTGTGGTGGGAGGAAGCCTCATTCATCACCCAGACTGCCAGGAGATTGTTAAGCAAACATGTTTGAATGAATGAAAACCTTGTTTGGTGTCATCAGAGAGAAGAATAAGTGATACATGAGACTGAGGTCTGAGTACCTGTCCCTGTGTCCTGACAGTGCCATCCCTTTGAAAGATAAATGACAGGAAAACTACTAACACCAATTATTAACTTGATTCCTTAGGTCAGTCTATACCAAATCATGAGGCCATTTAGATGCAAAATAGCCACTGAGAGATTTGGTTCTGAAAACATTTCAGATGCAGACACTGAGAAATGTTTAGAGAGGCCAGCAATGAACTCATGCTGGGGAGTACCTCACACTTGCAGACTGTTCTTAGCATGGCCCCTCCCGGTCATCTGGTTTAACTGCCCCAAGTGGTTGGCCTCCTAATTAGGCAGCTCCTCATGCTCCAATTCTGTCACCTGGGAAAACCTGAAGTTTTGAGGATGACAGAGCAGCAGTTCCTTCCACAGGAACACTTGTGTGGGGCATCAGGAGTGGCTTTAAATGGTGGAGGTAATTACTTAATTCAAGCTCTAGCAGCCGGCCAAGTAAACATGTAGCAGCCAGGAAGCTATTAGCATGATTTTAAGGCAATTATTCCATTAGTGTTTAATAGTCTCCAATTAGTCTTTTCTGATTGTCAAAGTTTGAATGTCTTTTTTTCCTCCAGAACTTCTCACAGTTGAGTAGTGCAGAAAAGTGCCGTAATCCATTTTTAGACCTGGGGTTATGTGTATGGTTCTAGCAAATCTACATTACAGACTCATGGAAAACTAGGGGGGCGGGGGGAGGGTGTACATTTGAAGAAATAGTTCTCAGATGTATTGGGTATGAGAGAAACTCTGCAGGGGGCCCATTTGGAATATAATACTAACAGGGGTTGGGAAAGCGGTGGAAATTCCCATTGCATCCAATGCTGCGTCATCTTATGTCTCTAAGTATACCAGAACATCAAAGTCAGAGACTTTGTTCCATGGGGAGAAAGGAAAATTGCCCTGTTCTTGTTAATGCATGTTTCCTTGTTTCTTCATCCTGGTCAGTACTTGTTGCTACTGAATTATCCAGATACGAACGCCAAAGCATTTTGCTCTAAAATTCCTAGAAGCTCTTCCCTAAGGATCACTGTAGGGTCAGATCTCTGAGCTGATATTAGGCCATTTGCCTTCACTGAGCTGCAACTTTTACATTTGTGAAATGGAGTTCACAGTCCCAGCAATGCCTGCTTCCTGGGGTCTGGGGGAGGATCATGTGATCTGGTCTACATACCAGGGCTCTGAAAAGGGAAGTATTACAGAAATGTGAGAGATTCAGACAGTGTCGTAGCTTCCATCAGAACCAGCAACATGAATTTAGGCTGTTAATCCCTGTCTCTGGAAAGTCACACATCGGAAGACAAGCACCGCTCGCCCCCTCTTACCTTCCATGTGTGCAGAAATGCTCAGGGAGAGGCCATGTGAAAGTAACTTTAAAACCAAAGAAAAAAAGGAAGGAAAAAAGAGGATAGGAAATCCTGTGGAAGTGAGAGTGGAATTTTGCCAACAAAGTTGTGCCCTTTCTACCATTTCCTTCAAAAGAGCAATCCCCAGGCTCGCCCAGGTAGCAGGCACTGTAGAGTGGAGAGGCTGGGTTGTCCTTTAAGTTGGAAACACATAGGCTCTTGGGAAGCTACCTCCTAAAGAAGGACGCAAGGACACAGCCTCTCCCCTTCCCGGTTGGTGTTCAGAGTGTGGCCTGTGCCTATCAGAGCGGCCAGACATCCACTTGACTGAGGACCATTGACTTGGGCTACTGATCCATTCCAGCACTGCTGGTTAGAGCCCCCTGGGATTTCCAAGAGAACCCTTCTTTTGCTTTTTGCTTGTTTTAAATTATGTTTCCCCTCAGTGGCTGAGAGGGGGCGCTGGGTGGAGCAAATCAAGAAGAGGTAGAACAGAAGGTTGAACCTAATCGGGCTCAGCCAGGGGCAGGTGTGGACCACCTGTGCATAATGTGTAATTTGTCCTCTGGTCCGACCCGAGAAGGACAAGACATTCACTCCTTCAGCCCAAGTGGAAAGTCCAGTTGGTAAGGAAGTGCGGCCGTGTTCCGGCTGTCGCCACGGCCCACCGTCCTGGAGTGTCCTCCCCACCGCACACCTCAGCCAGGGGCTCCAGCGCGCACCAACCCGGAGACCTGCCCAGACCCTGGTGCCAGCCGCGCGCCATGCTGAAGCCTCTGGTGCCTCCCGCCTCTCCCGGCTTTGCCAGGCTCCCTCCTGTTCTCCTGGCTGCGGGGACACCGGGACACCAGGACAATCACTTCTCCTGGTAATCCCACCTCTCCGCCTCGCGCTCAGCGCCCCCCCGGAGCAGCAAACGCAGGGTCCGCCAGGGCTCGTTTTCGTGACCCGGGAGCTGATGGTCGCCAACAGCGCTGGGATCACGGTCCACCCGGTGGCCACCGGGCCAGGCCCGCGGGTCCTCCCAGGCTCCAACCCGGAGCCCTCCGCCCCTCGTCCCTGTCAGCTCCGGGTCAAGGGCGGCGATCACGCTGCCGCCGGTCCCTCAACTTTCATCCCTCTCGGGGAAGCGCTTTGTCTCTTTAAAGGAGACGGGGACCACGAATAGAAATGGCTCAGGTAGGTTCTACCGGAGAAATCTACCAAATCCTCTGGATTCTGCGCCAGGGATGGAGTCGGAGTTCCAGGCGCTGGACCGAGCCCCCAGGACACCAGCCGGCGCTCACAGCGCACGGTCCCCCACCGGCCCAGATGCGCCCCCGCCTCCAAGTCTGCGGAGAAGAACGAGGGAGGGGGCACCGGGGGCCAACCCACAGCCCAGCCTTTCCCGCTCCAGCCCTCTGCCACCGCCCGCTGCAAAAGCCCGGCGGCAAGGCAGTCACCTTGATCCCCGCGCCAGGGTCCCCCGAGGTTAGGGAAAGGCCAGGGGCCGGAGGCTCCCGGGCAGCGCTAGCCTGGCCCCAGACCGACCCCTGGGACCCGTTTCCCTCCCCGGGCACCCTGGCAACTTAGCACCTAGTGGCAGAGAAGCAGGGCGGGGCAGGTGGCGGCGCCCGCGCCGTGCGCCCTACCTGGGATGGCTAAATTGGTGAGGGGGATGCTGTGGATGCTCTCCGGGAGAGCGGCCATCCAGTCGGCCAATTTGAGCTCGTTGGTCCCCTGAGACGAGGCCATCGTGCAGGTGGCGTGCGCGCTGCGGTCCCGCACTGCTCGCTGGCAGGCTGGCAGGCTGCTGCCGCTAATCCAGTGTGTGCTCCAACCCCGCTAGAGTTTACACTCCGCTCTGCGCCACACCCACAGGATGGCGCAGACACACGCGGCTTTCAGTAATTATTCCAAACACCCCATGCTCCCCAGTGCCTCCGCCAGACTCTGCCCAAGCTGAGGCTCCTGACGTCCGCGCTCAGCTTTCTCCTCTCTCCCCTCCCTCCCAGACTCCCTCCTCCCGCCCTGGCCCTCCTCTGCGTCTCTGCCTTTTCTCGCCATCCTGCAGCTCTTTTTGGCTTTTTCCCCTCTTCTTTTCTTTTTAAATCGTGGTTCATGGTCTTGTTCGGCCCTTTGATGTGACTACCTGATCCTATTTCTATAAAAAACAGTCTTGTGGTCGAGCCTAAAATCTTGGTAGACTTTGGGATGCTATCTTCTCCCCCACGAGGTGACTCACAGGCTGGCTTTCAGGACTTTGCATTCTTACCAAAGAGCTTTCCTTTCTGTAAGCTACACCAGGTGATGTTTCTTCCAGCCTGATGGAGCCTGCAGGTCTGCTTATAACAAAATGGTGGTCTGCAGTCACCACTTCGCCTAATTTTTTGAATAGTTGACGAGAGTGTGCTGTTGGCAAAGGGAAGTAAGTTCTAGGTGGTGCCTACTTAATGCCTGGCATCCTGTTTCTGACATTTCAAGATAAAGAAGCCCTTCGACCCCTTCTTTGCTCATAGATCACAAGACCTCTTTGTGATTTCTATGGAGGAAGCTACCTGTGTCCTCTCTCTGTCATTGTCAAGCCACTCAGGATAAGCCCAGAGCCTGATGCCAGAAGAAAATGACCACATTTCCCAGGGACATGCTGCAATTATTGACAGGAGCATTTGGTGAAATGTATTTGGCACCATTCAAAATGATCTGTGTGACTGTCGAAATTTTCATTCCCTGGCAGACTAGAGAGATGTGCCTCTCTCAAGAGAAATCACTCATTGTGCTTCCAAAGAACTGTCTTGGTCCACCTGCTCTCAGACAAGACAAGGAGAGAAATCAAGTCTTACCAATGTGATGGGGACATAAAAACCAAGGTAAGAAAGAGAGCTGCTGTAAAGCATGGGGATGACTATTTCACTTCAGTAAACCATTAATATTAACAACAACAACAACTAAAGCTTGCTTATAATACAAGGATGTAAAACCCAAAGAATATTTCCCAGCGGGAGCACTTTGAAAACATGGAGAAAGGAGAGATAATGCCTTATGGGTGTGATCAAATTTTCCATTGTCCCATAGAATCAATGTATAGCTTCAAGAGGTCACGGTAGCCCTAGCTGGTTTTGCTCAGTTGATAGAGCATCAGCCTGTGGACTGAAGGGCCCCAGGTTCAATTCCAGTCAAGGGCACATGCCTGGGTTGTGGGCTTGATCCCCGGTAGAAGACGTGCAGGAGGCAGCTGATCAATGATTCTTTCTCATTGTTAATGTTTCTATCTCTCTTTCCTTCTCCCTTCCTCTCTGAAATCAATAAAAATGTATTTTTTTTAAAAAAGAGGTCATGGTAGGGTTATCTTTAAGAATGAAAAGGGCATATACTGGGATTTTTTCCAAGGTCAATCTTAATATTCTTACTAGCAGCCACATACCTTTTGATGAGAGTGAGAATTTGGCTCACTGTGGGATTATTGGTCAAGAGACCTACAAACACCACCCTTCTGGCTAATGCTGGTGCTCTGTGGGCATCACAGGGGGCAATGAGAGCTCAGCCTTGGGAACCCAATGCTTTGGCTCTGAGGAGTTTGGGCAGGTCCTCGAGTTTCTGTCAGCCCTAGTTGTCTCCATTAGAAAATGATGATAGTAACTCAGAGATTCACAGTGAAGCTTCCTGGAAAGAATATAAGAGCTTGTTATCAGCAAATCGTCACACACAATATGAGACTTATGTTTATTGAGACAACGATATATGCACATTCTTCCTCTCCTTGCCTTTTCTATCCTTATAAAATATTTGTTTTCAAGAGGATGAAATAATTATTGAATCTTGGAAATATTTTTAACAAGAGACATTTTAAAGTCATGCCTTGAGTGTTGAACTTAGGAATTTCTAAAAGGTTACAAAGCATTTTCTTAAAAAATGAAGCCAAATTAACTGATGGGGAAAGTTGCCTCTATAAAGAATTGTACACTGTAACTTTTGGTAAAGCAAACAAGTAATCCCTCCCCTGTTCTATCTTCTTTGAGTGTTAGAATTTTTAATGTATTGGATTTTGCATAAAACCTTACATTTCTCTGCATGCAACTCACTAGAAAAGAGAGGGCTGGAAATCGATAGTTCTGAATTTCTTTCTTGGCTTATAATCAATTTTTTAAGTATATTTTTATTGATTTCAGAGAGGAAGGGAGAGGGAGAGGGAGATAGAAACATCAATGATGAGAAAGAATCATTGATCGGCTGCCTCCTGCACGCTCCACACTAGGTATTGAGCCTGCAACCCAGGCATGTGCTTTGACAGGGAATCAAATCATGACCTCCTGGTTCATAGGTCGACACTCAACCACTAAGCAACACCAGCCAGGCTTATAATCAACTTTTAAGATAATTTTATGACCTAAATGCCCAATCTTTCTATTATCAGCTCTGCCACTACTTACTAAGTGATATTAGGAAAAGCATGTAATTTCTCTTGGCTTTACCAACTGTATTAATCAGGGTTTTTCAGAGACACAGAATCAGTTTTATGAGAGAGCAATCCTATATAATGAAAGTCTAATATGCAAATCGACCGAAAGGCACCGACCACCATGGGGCAGATGCTCAATGCAGGAGCTGCCTCCAGCCCGCAGGCCCCAGGCCAGCCAAGGTGGGTGCCAGCAGGGCGCCCCCACCCACCCCCCAATAGCCCTGCCAGTTGCCTCATACAGAGGGAGGTGACCAGCAGGGTGGGGCGATCAGGGGCTGGGGCCGGCCAGTGAGCGGACCGGTGCCGCCCCCCGCCCCCCATCATCCCAGTCGCCCCCTGATTGCCCCGCTGGTCACCCCACAGATCAGCCCTAATCGCCAGCCAGGCCTAGGGACCCTATCTGTGTACACCAGGCCTCTAATACATATACATATGTGTGTGTGTGTGTGTGTGTGTGTGTGTGTATATATATATATATATATATATATATATATATATATATATATATGATCAAGAAGCGATTTTATGGAATTGATTTGTGAGAACTGGAAACTCTGAATGGCAGGCCAGCAGACTGGTAACTTAGGTAGGATTTCTATGTTTCAGTCTTGAAGCAGAATTATTCTTCTTCAGAAAACCTCTGTCTTTGCTCTAAGGCATTCAACTGCTTGGATGAGGCCCACCCACATTAAAGAGTGTAATCTGCTTTACTCAGAGTCAAATGATTGTGAATGCTAATCATATCCACAGATACCTTCACAACAACATCTAGACTAGTATTTGACCAAACTACTGGGCATCACAGCCTAGCCAAGTTGACACACATAATTAACCATCACACCCACTGACAAACTAAACTAGAATTTGTTATTGATCTCTAGAGCTCCTTTTGACTCTATTATTCTATAATCTTGTTTTATTTGTGATGACTTCTCACACATCTAGCTGCTGGAAATAGCAAAACAAAACAAAACAAAAAAAACACCTTAGTTTTTTATTCCATCCAACCAACTCAAGGTATAGATCAACCATTTTTTCACTACAAAATACTAATGAGTTTTCACTGTGGTGCAATAGGAGCCAACCATTTTTAAAAAGACTCTGATAAGCATAAATGGAAAGAGAAAAATGACATATCACAGTGGTTTCATGCTGTTATTAAAGTTTATGTAATCCTCAGCTGTCCATCAACATCACACTATGCACAGTTTATAAACATTGCTACTCATTTGGAATATTTTATTACTTTATATCTTCCTCCACTCAAAAAAAAAATACATGGTTCTTTGGTATGTATTATCTTTCATTAGCTCATAATATTTCTTAATTGTTGGAGCTACTAGTATATATGTGTTTTTTTTCCAAATTAAATTCATGCTGAGTTATATTCTGAAAAACAAGGTTCCTTACAGGTCAGCTGAATAATATTTTACAAGAGGAACTTTGTTTAAAACAATTCAGCCAAATCAATAAAAAAAATATAATGTTCAGAAATATACTTTCACAAATTTAAAATATGTAAAGAGGGACAATAAAGAATCTTTGTAAAATTAAAAATTAATAATCAATGCATTTTACCATTCTCTACCACCTCTACCTGGATATTTCATTCAAAGAAATGTACTATATTTAACTATAAGAAATGGATTTTGTACTTAAATTCAAAATTTAAGCCCTAACTGGTTTGGCTCAGTGGATAGAGCATCAGACTGCAGGGTCCTGGATAGAATTCAGGTCAAGGGCACATGTCTGGATCACGGGTTTGATCCCCAGTGGGGGGCGTGCAGGAGGCACCCCAGCAATGATTCTCTCTCATCATTGATGTTGCTATCTTTTTCTCCCTCTTCCTCTCTGAAATCAATAAAAATACATTAAAGATTTTTAAAAGTGATAATCCCCACTTCCCACCACCATATTAACCCTTTAGGGTTTTCAGTCCTTCTTCTCTTCCCCTACATATACTCCTTATATGCCAACCCCAAATAAGCTCATTAACACTCTGAATACAATCTAAGGGTTGCAATCACAAGTTATGGGATCTGAAGACTGGGGTTCAAATCCAGGTTTTCCCAATTAATTTCTGTGTGTTTTTGTTCCCTTCACTGAAGTGTGAAGAATAATTATTTCTTCCTGGGCATGGGAAAATGGAGGGCGCTGTGAAGCTTAAGTGAACTGAAGAGTTTGAAGTTTATTGAACAGAATGGAAGCACAAGAAGCTACAGCTCATCATTCTGCTTCTTGCTCCCACCAAGCCCTTTCTTAGCTGTTAACTCCACACGGAGTGCAGTCTGATGCTTTCATATATCAAAATTCTTCCTACTCTAACTCATCTTTGCCATTTCCCTTACTATCCGGAAGCACACCCATTGCACACCCATTGCAGTTTTATAGCTATCTTGTAATATGTTTCTAATTTCCTAGCTGATCTTAAAGCGTTATGTGGACAGAAATAGTGTTACAGACCCTCTAATGCAGCGGTTC